TCATTAAACCGTTTGTAATTTTTGTGTAATTGTAGCATGTTGCCATCGTCACATATACTGCTTTGAAATTGGGTCCATCTTTTTCAAACACCCTGTATACAGCAGGCGTCCCGGGTAGGCATTGAACCCCACGCGACCAGCCGAGGTAAGTTAACAACCTCGCCCACCGCGGCGTTTGTATCGTTGCCTCTTTTCTTGCACTGCCGTGTTGCGTGCTCTTCTCAGTCCTGCCTGTCAACTCGTGCGCTGTCAACATCAACATCGCCCCTCCTTCTTCTCAGAAATGAGGTGCCGGGCACGTCTGTGTTCCTCTTCGGTTGGGCCGACGAGCCCGGCCGCCGGAGTCTGGTGTCGTGCCGGCGCGAGTGGGCCTGGTACGGGGGGCCCCGGCCAAACCGCTGCCGAGGTCGCCCCGCCCATCCCGGACGTGGGGCCCGTGCCGGGCCCTCGCTATGGCATCGCCGGTGTGAGCGCGATGCCGTACGTGATGAACTGCAACGTGACAATCGACTCGACCGACCTTAGGCTGGGTCGCCGCATCGCGCGCGCCCTTCGGGCCTCCAGCCCGGGCGGCCTCCCCGGCGTGGAAGCCATGGCCTTCCCTCACGAGGGCCGCCTCGAGGTGGCCTGCAACGTGCGCTGCTTCGGCAGCCTCCAGGCGTGACCCAGCAGGAGCCGTGCGGCAGGGCACGCGCTAGGGGGCCGCTGGGGTGCGCCCCGCACCACCAACTGCCCCTTGGGCCGAGTCAGGTTCACCGTCCTTGGCGGTGAGTGTCACCGTTACGGTGACACTCAACACCGGGGCTCCACTGCCACCTTCCTGGATCTGAGAGGAGCTGAAGCCGGGCCCGAGTTCTTGCCCAGCGTCGGGGTGGCACAAGGACGGCCGCGATTTGGCGATGCTATGATTTGTTGACCAGTGCAAGGTACCACGATAATCGTATCTGTTCAACCCTAGCACATGGGCGAGAAGCCGTGCATGTATGACGAGTGCGGCAAGACTTTTTCTCGCGCTCGGCCTACAAGTATATATATTTTTTTTATTTTCCGCTTGTGTGTTAATCTGTGTTTACCCCGGATATTTTAGAGATGGCAATTCTCCTGCTGTGTGTCCTACTGCTGTCCCTCCCGGCCATAGCTAGTGCCACACTCAACTCTACAAACGGCTACCCTCGTTACTTTGCGTCCATACTTGTTGCTCGATTTGCCACTACACCTGCTAATGAAACAGCTCATAGACACTTCTACACTCCATCATTGTATCCTTTTAAACCCTATCTTTGTCCCATTACTTCACCAGCACTCCTTCCAAACTTCATTCTGCTCTTAAAAATAACACCATCTGCGAGCTGCTGCTATTCGTCCAAGGTTCGCCACGCTTCATCCTTTCACAGAAAATACTTGTGCAAACTATTAATTCTTTTTTTATTTCTGGCTGGTATTGAGCTTCATCCTGGCCCAAATGAAAAGAACTCGTATAATTCTGTAGATTTTTCTGGCAGGAAAGGTGTTGGTGGTCTACATGTCAACATCAGAGGGCTTGTGATTAAATTAAGTCAACTAAAACTAGAAGTGGCAAATTTTGACCCGGACATTTATTGCCTAACAGAAGCATTTCTCACGCCTGCCGTCAATGACTTGCAGGTTGCGATTGACAACTACAACATTTTTCGGCTTGATGGAGGATCTAAAGGAGGTGGAATTGCCATCTATGTTCGTAATACTATTGCATGTTCACTAGCTAACTCCTTATTTAAAAAAAAATATTGCTTTGAAGTTCTGGCTCTCAGAATAACTCTCCCAAATAATCAACAGATATTGGTAGTGTGCTGCTATCGACCGCCTAGTGGGAAGGATGTTGAAGCTGCATCTGCACTCCCTAAAGGTGAAATCGTTTTAGTGGGTGATCTAAATTGGAATTGGCTAAACCCGCCGGCCGTGGCCACAAATTTTGCAGATGAATTTCATCTGTTTCAATTAATAAATGTCCCCACAAGACCCAACCTAAAAAATCTGGGACAATCATCTCTGCTTGACGTCCTATTGACAAATGCCCCTCACAATTTCACACTGACTGGTGTTCTGGGTAATAACCTTAGTGATCACTCGTTCATTTTGGAGGTGAGATCATCAGCCGGACCCAAAGCCCCCCCTAAATTGGTTGAGAAGCACTCTATGAGACACTTCAGCACTCAGGCATTTACTAATGATGTGCTTCACTCGGATATTGACAAGGTCTGTGATATCCCCAACCTGACTACGGCTTGGGAGACCTTCAGGTACACTTTGCACTGTTGGTTAGATTTAAAACTAAAGGCAACCGCCCACCATGGTTTGATCCTTTGATTACAAAGCTCATGAAAACTAGGGACAAGGCTTGGGCATGTGCTCAAAAAAGTAATTTGGTCAATGACTGGCTAGATTACAGGATTTTAAGGAATAGATGCGTAAAAAAAAATACGGCATGCAAAACATGCCTACTTTTCCTCTACTCGCCTGGAATCACATGGAAATGCCAGGATTTTCTGGAAAACAATCAAATGTATCGAAAAGGCATCCAAAACAGACAATCTGCCCGCTGAGCTTAACCGAAATGGGGAATATTTTTCAGATCCCAAAAAAATAGTTGACAATTTTAATCTTCATTTTTCTGAAGCTGGTAATATTTTTGATAATGTATTGGGAGTCACCCCTGCTCATGTAAATTCCTACACCCCTGTCAAACATTAAACGAATTTAGTTTCCAGCCAATCCACGAAAGTAATGTTCTGAAACAACTGTCCTACCTCAAAGGGTCCTCCTCTACCAGAGCAGATAGTATTCCCGTCTTTGCTCTACTAACTGTTGGTCACATAATATACCTTATTTTCAACCTGTCCATCAAAGAAGCATCCGTTCCTCTTGAATGGAAACATTCCTATGTCCGTCCACTTCACAAAGGGGGCCCTAAAGATGATCCAAATAACTACCGACCTATCTCAATTTTGTCCCCGTTGATGAAAATTTTTGAAAAATTATTGACCTACTAAATTAGCAGTTTCCTGTCCACCAACAATCTACTACATCTAAAACAATCTGAGTTCCGAAAAATATACAGCACCACATTTGCTGCATTAAACTATCTGAATCACATTTACAGTAGCCTTGATAATAAGCAGTACTGTGCCTGTCTTTTTCTAGACCTGTCCAAAGCTTTTGATACAGTAGACCACAACACCCTGCTTAGTAAACTAAGTTGCCTCAGTTTTTCCGAAAACGCAGTAAAATGGTTACAAAATTACCTCTTTCTCGCACCCAAACTGTATTCACAGATGGTTGGAGGTCAAACAGTGTTAAGATAACAAAAGGGGTTCCACAGGGTTCCATCCTCGGCCCCCTTTTGTTCTCTCTTTATGTCAATGACTTGGGCACTGACCTGGATCATTCCAGGGTAAATCTTTTTGCAGATGACACGATACTGATTACTGCTTGCCGCTCTCCGGATGACGTGATTGCTAAGCTACAGGGTGATTTCAACATACTACAATATCAACTAGTTGCTCTTAAACTAGTCCTGAATACCTCCAAAACCAAGGTGCTGTGCTTCTCACCAGGACTAAAGCAGGAAGTTATTTTTCCCCAATTACATTCCTTAAATAATTATCAAATAGAGCATGTCAAGATCTATAAGTATCTTGGGGCCATCCTGGATTCAAAACTGAATTTTGAAGATTACATTGATTATATTGGTAAAAAGACAAATAAAAATTGGGTTTCTGTATCGACACAAGTACTGCTTCCCCCCAATGTTCCGTTTGGAATTGATAAAAGCTACCATACTGCCTCTACTTGACTACTGTGACATCGTGTATAAATCAGCCCCAAGTACTGTACTGAAGAAGCTTGATTCCATATATCACTCGGCCTTAAGATTTACATTGAACTGCCCATATAGGACTCACCACTGTGATCTCTACATTGGGTCAAACTTAACATCTCTTAATGTTCGACGGCTTGTGCACCTGATCTTATTTATTCACGATGTACTTACAAAAAAATCCGCAGACTACCTGCTGGATCTCCTCTCTGTTTCAAAGAACAAATTTGACCTCAGGTCTTCGCTCATTTACCAGCTTCACATTCCCTATTGCCGTACAAAAACTGGGAGGAAGGGCCTTTGCTTTTGATGCCCCCAGGGTCTGGAATGCTATTGCCAATAAACTGCAACTTGAATCGGTACCAATGAGATCTTCTCTCAAATCTGCTCTAGAGGAGTTGTACACCCCTAGCTGCCACTGCTATTCATTGGCGTAAAATAAAATGTTTCGCTCCGGATGACACTGCAAAGTATTATCTGTATTTTGATTTAGCGTGCTGATCTTAAAGGTACATTGAAAAATTTGATACTCCGACTGATGCTTCTGTTGTTGTGGAGTAACTCATGCAGCCAGCTATGGCTCTAGGATTTGGTGTTACATGTTATTTATGTAGTTTATTGTAAAAATTCGGTCACAGTCCCTATGATCACTGTTCCGTTGCAATTATGGCTTTATTTTTTGGTGATTTCGAAAAGTTTTTTGGTTTGGACATGTTTGTTTTGTTGTAGTACGGAGTTAGACTGATGGCCTTAATCTAAGTTTTTGTGGTGGTTGTTGTTTGACTTGCATCCCACTGGGATTTTTTGCACACAGCGTTGGTGTACGGTGCTTTTTTCAGGAATATTTTGCTGTTTTTTTTCATGGATTTTCTGTTTGCAGTCACATAGTCACTTTAAGATGTTTTTTCTTGTTCGTGTTTTTGTTTTTTTGTTTGTTGTGGTTGCATCCGATTCAAGAGCCGAATGGCTCACGGCTATACCAAAATAAAGAAACTGTCAAAAAACTGTCTCATCTCTTCCGATCGCAGCCCACACCCCCCCTCAACCGTTCGATTGCCACGATTCCTAACGCGTCGATTTGCTCGAAAACGATTCATTCCCGGCACGTGTTGCTAGTCACGGGAATCGATCCGAATGGGCGGGCGTCCGTATCGGGTCCGTTCGATTAACGGGGCACAAGCTTCGGGGCTGCCCGTTGTTTGTGCGTCGCGCTCGCGCAGAAGCTGTGGTGCCTCACCGCCTCCTCCCCACCCACCCCTCCAACACGCCGCTGGGGGCGGGATGTGGAGCGACTGAGTTTCGGGCGAGCGTGGAGTCGCCGTCCAGAGAAGCAACAGGAAGAGATGAACCACCTCCCTACAACCGCGTAAGCGATGGTCTCTCCACTCGTTCCGTCTCTCATTTTGTCGTTTTGCTCAGAGGCAGCCGAAGAGGAGTTGCAGGCGGCAGTTGTCACCGGCGCTTATGAGCGAGGTCGCTATATGGGTGGGTGGGGGGGGTGTAGGTGTGGTCACACCACGCCTTGCTAGATGCGCCCTCGGCCAGCAGGGCGGGCTAGGAAAAGCGTAAGGCTCCGAGGTGCGCGGCTCGGGCCTACTTAATTGAATGGAAACGCCGGCGGCAGCCTTATCGTGTGGTGTCCGTGACGGTGTTCACTGTTCTGTAATTTAGATTTTTGTTGTTTGTTATCACCCAGCCCGTCCCACATGCTTGCTTCTCGATGTGAGTTGGTGTGGTCAATCGTAGCGTTGTGCCTGACGTTCGGTTATTCGGTAAACGTGGTGTGTATGTTTGTGTTCGTGCAGCGAAGGAATGCAAGAGATTCTTCACGGCAGTGACTGGATTTGTTTACTGTAATATAAACACCGCCTTGATGTGAATGTTTTCAGGTTGTCGTTGATAACATTGCTATCCAATCGTCGAGTGGAACTACTTAGGAAATTTAATTATTACTCGTCCGACAAACTGGCCTTGTCCGTTCAGTGTCCCCAGCCTCGTAATCGCGCGTTTAGAATGTTACTGTACTGTGTTTATGACTCGGGGATCTTCCTTGAACAAGATAATCTTAGTTAACAATGACTTCTCAACGGGTTTTAAACATTTACTTTCAACGTCAAGACGCCTTTGTGTTCGTTCGCGCGACGCGTTAGTTAATTGTAATTGTATAATGTATTTAAGGCAACAGTAAATCGGTTTTGCTGGTAAAAGAAGAAAAACAATAATACCTTGGCCATTCATTCAAATTGTGGGCTCGTTTTGTAATAACTCTTGCCTTAAATTTCGATTTAAAAGCTTTCGTGACTGCAAGGATTCATCTTCTTTGGTTCTTTCGGTAAAGTCACGTAGAATGAGAATAAAATAATAAATTAATAAAATAAAATAACACAATAAAATTCTCACGACGTTTCGGCCACAACACAAGTGGCCTTTTATTTTATTATTGTATTCTCAAACTACGTGACTTTACCGAAAGAACCAAAGAAGTAATGTTCTGAAACAATTCCTATTGAGTCCTAGATTCTGCGTTGTTTGATTTGGCTTGGTTTAGTAGGGGACACTGCCCGTCACGGTCACCAAGCTGAGTGAGGTCGACATTGAGAAGTGGAGAGAGACCTCGTTGGGAAAACGCAGCTCGATGGGTCTTGAGACCGAATGTGGCTGGAGATGGCCCTCCTGATGTTAACAAGGGTTGAAGTTGGTTTTCTCCGAATGAATTTTATTTTCAAATGATTTAGAAGAAGGAAAGAGTGTTCTGTATGAATGTACCGTAGCTACATTTTTTTTAAATGAAGCAACTGAAAATCTTGCGCACACTTAACGTTGTTATTATAGAGCTTAATTATTCACACCACGAGATAATTTGGTCCATTGCGCTTGGCATAAATGTTTCTTTTTCAAAAGCTGTAGAGGGATTGGAATTGTATGCACTGTAGCATAAAGGGCAGCAGCAGCTAGCTAAGCAGCTTTTAAAGTCTGCACCACCCAACTATGGCAGAAATGTTAAGTTTATCCTGCAATCATTGGATGCAAACCCAAGTACACCACCCTGCCAACTGCCCATAAAATTAGATTTACTTGCAAGGACACAAACCAACAGTGACGATTCACACCTGCAAAAGGGCAATGCATACGTTGTGCTTTATAGCTTAGTATAGCGCAAATTCACCAGTCATGCGTAAATACCATCAAGCCTTCGGCTGCTCGTAATTATCCTTGTAGAATTCCACCATTGGTCATCACCTCGTTGGCTTTCTTGGCTATCATTGCAAGTATGCGAGTGTGTGGGATTTTGCTGGAGTGGCTGTTTAATTGGGTGTGTCATTCCCACATGTCTGTGACACAATGTCAATTTAATCAACATTAACTCCACGTGGACAGTTCAGCAGGCATCTGCTTTTGTGAGAGCCTCTTGTGTTGTCATAACAGCCACTTTTCAACTTTGCACTACTGTAATGTATACAATAACGAGCTTTCTACATCCATTCCTGTATCTCCTATTAAGCAATTTATGTATGATTAAACATTATGGAAATTTCAATGAAGATGAATTAATATAGACATTGTTCACAGTATATTGGAACGATGAATTTACTTTTTTCATTCACCCATTTAAGCTGACTTGTTGGAGTGGAGGCATTCTTCAGGCTATAACTAAAAAATCTTGTAAGTATGGCTAGTTTGTCTGCTTTTATATACAATACTGTTACCTTAATTAAATGTGGTTCGCTTTAGTGTCGTGAGCATGTCAATGCAAGTGCATGCAGTAAATGCCTTGGCATTATTTTGTTTTCACACAGCATGGTGTAACAACTCCCCCAAGACAAGCAAAGTACAAACCCAAAGCACAAGAAAGGTTTGGTGGACTACTACAGTACTGCAAACACCTGATAAAAGATTGTCAACGATTTTTAAAAAAAATATTTGGTGGTTTATATAACTTGAATGGATTTTTTTTTTATCTGGCAACATTACCTGCTAATGTATTGTGTTTGTTTGTGCTTGCTTGTAGCGATTATGCATATACTGTAGAAGTAAATCTTGTTTGGCTGATTTGGTGGAAATGCACCTCGTTAAAGTGGCATGAAATGCAATATTTGTAATAGAAAACTACATAAAGGAATAAACATGATATGAAAATCCCTTTTTTACTCTTGTTTAAAATGTTTGCATTGAAGGTGGCTTACAAAAAGATGTATTATAATATTATTATGTTATATTTGTAATATTCTTAAAGCCACACATCTGTATTTTCCAGAGAAACTCACTGCGTTATATTTCACTGCCTGTAAGATATTTTTTATAAAAAATATAGATTAAAAAAGGAAATTACAACACAGATGAATTCATTATTCACTTTAGTGAGGATTGGTTTCCCAGGTTCCTTATGGGATATATACATGGAATTGCTTCATATCGGCTGACTCCACAGGAATCATAAGAATGAGTTGTGTGTTGTTTTATTGGTGAGGTTTATGGTTGACTTAATCATCACACAAGTCAAAATGGACCTCTTATAAAATCACTTGCCATTTTAAAATATCGACTAAATATCTTATGTGGGTATTGTCCATAAACTTGAATTTTTAATCTTGACTTAAAGCTTTCATGACTTCAGGAATTCTTATTATTTGGGTCTTTCGGTAAAGTCACCTAGATAGGTTCAAAGATAACAAAAGACTACGACGTTTCGATCGCAACACAAGCGGTCATCATCAGGAAAGGGGGGACGACTGCTTGTGTTGCGATCGAAACGTCGTAGTCTTTTGTCATTTCCTTATTTTCTTTGAACCTATCTACGTGACTTTACCGAAAGACCCAAAGAATAACTATGCTATGTGTTTGTTATGGCAAACCCAGTGACACGTGGTAACTGTATACCATGACACTGTTCATGGCAAACACTTGCAGGAGCTTGGCAGGTTCTAGCTTGCTGCTGCTCCATCCAGTCATGTGAATTGTCACGTACATTGATTTGTGCCTGACCCCAAGGTTCAATGTTGTGCGTACTGTATATATGAGCCCGAGCCAATGTGGACATCATTTTCTTAACTGTGATATATTTCCTCAAAGGAACATTTATTAATTTAGAATTGTCCGTTGCATTTGATAGTGTTTGAATAAATCCAACTAGCTTTTTTGCCCGTCCAAGGATGGGTGTATATTGCAGTAAATCTGAAATATTAAAGAGAAACATTGTTCAGCTCATGATTATTAATGAGGGGGGTGTTGCCCCATGTGGAGTGACGTCACCCGCTAATGGTATTGGGGAGGGGTGCGGTATGTGTAGTGACGTCACCCCCTCATGGTTATTGTGTAGGGGTGCGGCATCTGGAGTGACGTCACACTCATAATTAATGAGGGGAGGGGTGCGGCATGTGGAGTGCGCGACCTTGTGCGTTAGTTACATTTCCACGCTGGCATGAATATTAATGAAGGGGGGGGGGGGGCTCTTTTGCAGGGACGTCACGCACGGATGTAGCACTGTGCTGCGTAGATTTATTTTTTACAGTCACTTTCTGTAAAGAAACGTCATATTTGAAGCGACTTTGCGGAATAAATTATTTAATTCAGCTCCACCTTCCTCTGTGTTAGTGTAAAAATCGACCCACTCATGAATAGTAATGAGAGGGGGTGAGCCTCCTGTGGAGTGACGTCACGCGGGAGGGTGGGCCTCATGTGGAGTGACGTCACACGCAGGACAAACAGACGTTAATGGGTGTTTATAGTAGGTAATTTGAAGTTATTTTCCCTGAGTTGTGGAAGGAAATGACTAAATCTCAATAAAATTATTCATGTGCCTAAGAACAAGTGACATTAATCACTTAAAGTTTTATAAAATGCATAACATGTATATGCTGAGAGAGTGAATTGGTTGGCATCTATGTATGTAGCAAAAGTAAATTCATGCCTGCAAAGTACAGTCAAAATTACCACAAGCAAGTCACTATTATTCCAAGCACACTAATATTGTTATATATTTTGATTTGTATGTTTAACTTTTTTGTGACGTACTTCCATGAAGTTTTTATGTGATATGTGGTATACAGGGTTAGGTATATGGCCACGATGTGTACAGTGCAGCAAAGTCCATTGTACACTCCTCTGCTCCCACGTTTATACTGCCCTCACATTGACACTGCCCTCCTTTATCAACGTGCACTGACCAGCTTGGTAAAGTATAGTCAAATAGCCTTCACTAACCCGCACGTCGTCGGGAGGTCCTTATCCAGCAGTGGATTGACAAAACGGATGTGCTTGCACACAGAATATGAACATCAAAATAAGTATTGTTTATAAACAAGGAAGATAAATCATGCATATGCGTGGATTTTGTAATACTAACATGCGTTTGTCCTCGGTAGTATTTGGTGATAACATTGTTCCAAGCAGCACAACAAGAGAACGTCATACAGCACATGACCGACAGGATAGGGGAGGCGTGCATGGGATGTGAAGTTAAATACTCTTTTAGCAGTCGTTTTTATCAAAATTTGGGCAAGCATTTTAACAATTTGTCCTGTTTTCTCTAGAGTAAGTCCCTAACATATGAACAGATAGATGGAAATAACTAAGGCATTCATACTTTTTCAACCTTGGTTTGAAAGCATTAAATAGATATTGTATGTCATTTAAAAAAGATGATGAGTGCAACGCTTGAATTTTTGAAATTTGCCTTCACAGGTGCCGCAATGGGGAGGGTAAGCTCGGGCCTGTCAGATCAGAGGGAGGAGATGGGTCTCATTCGCCTCTGCCACTGGGGTCCGGCCGTGGCGCTCTCCGTAATCACCGTGTGCACCTGCATGGCCATCCTGGACTCGCTGCTGTGGTACTGGCCCACCGATACACCCGGCGGGCTTCTCAACCTCGCCGTGCTCTCCCTCTGGGCTTTTCTCATCCTCTACAACTACTTCAGTGCCATGTTCGTGGGGCCTGGCTATGTGCCTTACGGCTGGAAGCCCGTACGTACTCGGCGGTCGTGCTCACATCACTCATCTTCACCATCGCACTTAACGTCATGCATTAAAGTGAAGGATATATGGCGCCATAGGGATCCATTATTGTCGGCGGCTAAGTGCAGAAGTGTCTCGCATTGCCAAGAATTTGGTGATTCCGCAACTGCAGGAACTTATGCATATATATCATCAGCACATGGTGATGTTTTTGCATCATCATCGTTGGTGTACTAAGTATTGCCATGTTGGACTTTAGCCCAAACGGTTGCCTTGTCACGGGACAGAAAATTACAGTTTAGCAATTTTGTAACATGATACTTGGACACATTGTAAGCTTGATATCAGTGACTGTCTTGCAAACAGTGTTATGGAATATCTTTCACTGATACCATAGATACGTTTGTTTTCCTAGTGTTCATTTATAAAATACTGATGAAACAGTTGAAAGTCTATATAAAAGTGCAGTGTAATCCAACATTGTTACATTTGTTGTCAGGTAAGTTCTTGATCAAACATTAATTAAAAAAATATATATATTTTGATCCTTACAATATGTGTTTGATTTACTCTCTTAACACCTCTGTTGCTCTTAAGACACAGTCACTGATAAGTTGCATAGCTTCAGAGTCCTAAAACATTGTGGCCAGGTCTCTTTATGTAAGTGATGTGGACTGAATAAGGTATTGCTGACTGTTCTCTAGGAAAAGCCGGAGGATGTACAGTACTTGCAGTATTGCAACATCTGCCAGGGGTACAAGCCCCCACGCTCACACCACTGCCGCAAGTGTAACAGGTCAGAAAACCATGTCCTCAATCGTCGGTTTATGATATTAGCAGGTTTAGTTGCCGTTTATTTTCATGTGTGCGTCTAAAGGCTATAAGAACATACCTTTCTCTGAACATTAGCTAAACCAGGCAATGGTAATGATGACCATGAAAGTTTAACACGTAGGCTTTCGTGACCAATATCCGTCATACAGGTTTTTTGGTTTAGATCGCGTAAACATATAAAAGTGTCGTTAAACCCGCCACCACCCGACACAGCCAATTAGTAAAGTTTGTCACCTAGACGGAACATGCCAATTTGTTACTAGTAAACACAGTTGAACTTTAACACCGTTTACATAATACAGCACACTGTTTACGTGACAAACCTTACTAATTGTCTGTGTCTGGTAGTGGCGGGTTTAACGACACTTTTATATATTTTCGCACTCTAACCCAAAAAAACCTGTTATGGATGACCATGATAGATGACCATTGGGGCGCTTCGGTGGCGAGATGTTAACTATCTCGCCTGGTATACAATAGGTCGTGGGTTCAACTCAAAATACGCAGGCCCTGACGCCTGTGTATTTGGAGTCTACACGTCTCACCCTGTAGTCGCTTGGATTTTTATCCGCTTCATAAGTGTTTTCCCTCCAGATTTAGAAACTTGCGTTTAGAGTATTTGGCTCCTATAAATGTCCAAATGATATGCCACGTTGTTGAGCTACCATTTGTGGCCAGGTCGCTTCTGAAAAGACCTAAATAGCTCAATGGGCCTTACCTAGTGAAATAAAAATTGTAAATAGTTTATTGTTTTTAATCTATTGTGGTGTGTCACACCCGACACAGTTCCTTAAGGTTTAGTTTAGATAATATATGCATATTATATATAATTATTGCCTGCAGCAGTTAATGAATCATTCAAACCGTCTTCCTGCATCAAGAATGGGGGCAGCTGTTTTTGTGCAGTTTACTTAATATTTTAGTGACTGGCAGAGGAGGGTGGTGTGAAATGTTGCGCTCTTAATAAGTACCATTATATCAAACATTAGCTTGCATTGTTGAGACTTGACAATGCGTTACCATGTGCACGCCTGCTCGAGAACAGTCGTAATAGACAGTTGTTTTGTATTGTGTGCATGCATTTCAGGTGCGTGATGAAGATGGACCACCACTGCCCATGGATCAACAACTGCTGTGGCCACTACAACCATGCGTACTTCACGTGGTTCCTGCTGCTGGCACCGCTGGGCTGCTTGCACGCATCTGCCATCATCTCTCTGACCATCTATAGCCAGCTGTACCACAGGGTCAGCTCCTGCTCCCACTGGCTCTCCTGCAGGGCAGTACTCAACACCTTCCTCCTTTTCTTCCTTTTCTGCACAGCACGTTCTTGAAACTGTATCTAACCCGTCTGCATCTGCGTCTGAATCGGGTGTTCCTTCCAAGGCTGGCCTTCCCAAACGCTTTTCTTCCGTGGGTCCGGGTTTCGTGGTTGTGTGAGTGAGTCCTGCCCTGGACTAAGCAACCTCAAAGGGAACACCATAAAATATGAATTAGCATTGGTGCTCATGAGTCCAATGCGGCATACGTTTGTCTTTTTTAAACGTTTTGCAAACTGCACATTACATCATTATAAATTTTAAATTGGCAGTAATGTCAGGAGAAATATATCATCATACTTTTGCACCATCGCTTTTTAAATTTATGGCTCAAGTGCCTTACAATTCTCCTGAGCTCTGCCTTTTTACCATAAAGTGCAAGCCGCTTTGCAGTGATAATGTATAGCCCAGGAACCATGCAACCATACACGCTTAGTCCATGGGTCCTTGTGGCTGCACTGGTGACCTGAAATTAATCGGAGCTTCGAGGCATCACAGCGTGGGCCTGGTTGAGCATTGTGGCTCTACATGTGATAAACAGTGGATTGGTTTAGGTTCCTTTTAGCAAAATATATCGTTCGCCTGGCTTCAGTGTCGGTAAGCGCAGATATGCCTACAATCCTGATAGCGATGCTTTGTGTCACGCAAACGCATGCACTCTCATGTACAAGTTTTCGTCTGTGGGCTAACTTCCATTTTCACAATCTTGACCCACTTATTCATTCTTGTCCTCTGCATCCTTCTGTCAATTCAAGGTAATATTTTTTGGCATTACTTGCATTTACTAATTACTCAGGCCTCATGTGAATTCATTTTTTTTCCTGTTATATCATACTCGGTTACCTCTTTATAACGAAATATTTCACAGTTAATCTCTTGTTACAAACAGAACAAACATGCATTCAAAAGTGTAAATTGTAAAATTTGATTTACTTGGCTTATATTTGTTATCTGGTAGGCAATTACAAATGTATATGATTTTAATAATCACGAAATCAAATTAATTGTTATAGGATATGGAAAAGCTGTATTCTTGTAACCTCTTGATGATACACCAGTTAACTTTTCATTCTGATGGAGAAATAACTACTGACAAAGCAATGGCTCGTGAGTTCTTTAGATATAGACTAAATACATAGTTCAATAACTACTTAATTTTGTTATAAACTGTTTCCCCATTTGTCATTGACCATATCACATTCTTGTAAGGATTAAATTGAATCTCGAATACACTAATCAAAGTAAGTTTTGCTTAACACTGCAGCTTTCTAATATTTTTTTACAATTTAAAAAAATTCTGGGAAAATTGAGCAAACCCATTTTTTCTATATAAAGTCCTCCTGTTTTATTGCACAACTTTACTGTTTTACATTCATTCAGAATAAATATTTTGTATGTTTTGCAACCCAATAGGTGAATTTCATAAATTGTACGGCAATGTATATTTTTTTACTTGCCACTCTTGGCAGTGTTTGTCACGAAAACAGAAGTCGTATTTTTATAATCCCACTTCTGTGTGAAAGGTTTTAAAATATGGCACACAATTTTTGCTTATCGCGTGGAGGGGTACGGAAGTTGGGTCCCAGTTGGTTGTGTTGCAATGTTCCCCGACGCTATCCATGGTGTCTCGTATCCCATGCTGCAGATCTCCTTTGGGATGACAAAACTGCAGATCGACGTGTCGGCTCCGCCCGTGGGACCTGTACCGTTCGGAGTTTCAGCTTTTGCTGCATCCCTGTTCGCTCTGGGCCTTGCTGTGGGCACTACCATTGCCGTGGGAATGCTTTTCTGTGTACAGGTTTGTCTCTCTTTTGCAGCAGGATTATTACAAAGTCTCCAGCGTGCGACCGTGGTCATGCAGAACAGACCATACTCCGTAGAACGAAGCAATGCCCGATCCACAAATGCGAAGGAGACATTGCAGCGATGCATATTTCGCTGCTCCTGACGTGGTTATCTGGCTTGACCGCCTGAATGTGAAATTGCAGTTGCTTGTTCTGCATCTACTTCAGCCATACGAAAGAAAAATAAACAAGACTTAATTTCATGATGTGCATGTATATTTTTCACTTGCCAACGAAGCGGTGGTTTTCAAAAGTTCATCAACTTGCATGTTGCCTTGTCCAATTACTGCTTTCAATTATTAGAGCACACCTTCTGTAGCTTCCATATTCCTTAATTCAGGATTTCAAAGTCTTCCTGCAGCCAAACTGATTAGGGCGCACACGTTGTTTCGGCTGTTTTACCACAAGTACTTGGATACATGTCATAGCTAAATAAGTTGTACCCTTATTTTCTTTGCAGATTAAAATTATTTTGAGAAACAAAACTTCCATTGAAACCTGGATTGAAGAAAAGGTAAGAAAGAAAGTACTTTAAATAAGAGTTATGTGGAAAAAATAAATCTGGTTTTTAATTTAAAAATAGTTTTCTGGTTCAGACTGTCATGAAAAAGTGTTTTACAATGGGGATATTTAAATATTAAATATGTCACATTACCAGTGTCTAGAATTCACAACGATATATGTTATATCCACTTCTGATCTGATCCGAAATGTCTTTTTGTTGATTGTGTACAAATCATATCAGGTTTGCATGACTTATGAACATATAACTATTTGACATTTGGATGTGTACTGAACAGTAATACTGCTGTGAAAAGGACTGAAACTAAAATATTAATTTGTTTATTACTCATGTTTAAGCCTGCAGCAATAATACTAAAAAATACAACGATCCACCAGGTTAACCCTTCTCTTGTCTCCCTTGTCCTTTCAGGCACGGGACAGAATCAACTATTATAAACTCGACGAGAAGTTTGTGTTTCCGTACGATCTCGGCTCACGCTGGGCAAACTTCAAACAGGTGGTGACGCTCAAGGGCATGCCGCGTGGGAACGGCGTGCACTGGGCCCTTCACGAGGGCTGCGACCCCTACACGCTCACGGTACTTCTGCACCACACCTCACCGACATGCACCGCACATTGCCAGCATGCCGCGATGGTATAGAATGTGAGTGTACCCCTGTATATTAAGCCGATATGGACTCATAACAGCATTGGGTATGAAGGTCTTCCACCCACTGTATATTAGAACCGCGACATGTTTCCTTCAGTGAGTTGCTCACCAGTTGCTGAATACTATGCAGTTTGTGTTGTTTGCAAGGCCGACTTTAATCTCATCAATACTGTTATATTTTATATATATTAATCAGGATTGCTTGATAATGGATTTTGATGGGAATCCATGGTGTTATGTGGGAGCACTTTTCCCAAGTTGAATCTCCATATATTAATTTCAGTTAAGTCAGGTTTATAAATGTAATCACATGAATGATGACCAAAACATATAAAGCTAAGTAAGGTCATGCACTGTTTACTTAAATAACTACAATTTCTCTAATAATATGTTTAAATGCTCTGCTTACAAGAGACTATGTTATGTTTCAGGTGGAGCAGCTCAAGCAGAAGGCTGACAAGAGAGCCAGGACTGTGAGTAGATGTTCTTAGTATGACAAGCTAGACAGACGCTAGACTCATTGTCAAGGAACGCAATACCAAATTTAGTGAAAACAATCACACTATCATACATCCTAACTACCTTTTTTGCATGTGGAATTAAACTGCAAAGCTCTGCACTGTAATGACATGCTGTCTGTCATAGGATATTGTATATCCATGCACCTCCGATTAGCACGGTTGGCTGTGCACACTGCGAAAGAAGTTGTACATACATATGTATAGCATGTTTTCACAGTATAGCAAACATACGTGCTAACTAAATGTGAGTGTAGATTTAACTGCACTGCATAGTTGATTTTAAAAAAATTCTTAGAAGAAATTGACTTAACATCCCAGTGAAAGAACCTTCTAGAAAAGACCTGAGACTCAGGGTTTGGTGGATAAAAAAATTGGCTTAATTATTATGCTGTCACGTAACACATTACCACACTTTCGTGTACTTATTCGCTTGAAACTCTACAGCCTCAAGAGTGACCAGTCACACTAGCTTAATATCGACTTAAGTTGCCATAGTTTTTTTGACAGGAGTTATAAGAATGAGATTATCATTCACCAAAGCCGTTTCGGCTTGACACCAGCCAGTGGCGCTCGAGTGAGATTTGTGTCGACCGAGGCTACAGCGTGGTCACGGCGCATTTGCAGGTGCCGTACCGTGCTTCGGAGAACTACAGCGGCGCGTGCTGCCCCATCACCAAGGGCGTGAGGACGCTCTTCGGGATGCCCTGCACGGATGAGCCTCGCATCAAGCTGACGCAGGGCGATGTTGTGCTCATCACGCGCGCCACCAAGTATGCGCGGCGAGGCGGTCTTGCATGAAACAGCCTCATTTGTTTGTCAGTAAAGCCCCCTGCATTTTCTTATTGATACTTACGAAAATTATTTTGTCTTTGAGTATTCAGAAAAGCGCTCACAAATAAAATGTTTTATTATTATTTGCACGGAAATTAGAAACGGGAAATTGCTACGTGATTCCTAGGCTGGAATTGTGATTTTGTTCTTAGAATCGAATACGGTTACTAGGGAGATTGGTCTACAAGATGTGTGACCACCATGGAGATGGAGCAATGAAATCGGCCTCTGTGCAGGTGCCAGGTGGATTGTTATATTGCAGAACAATGGTAAATGGGGATTGCTTTGGGGAGGCCCTGAATCAGCAGTGAATCGAACTTGGCTGATGATAATGAATCTTTCAAATAGTTGTATGTAAATTAACTACCTCCATTAGATACACTTGGTTGATAAAGTAAAATTGTTCAACTGAATATCTCAAGTGGACACAGTGCAAATTATGACCACATTTGCTGCCGTGTAACTTTTCCTATAATTTTTAATACATGTTGGATAATTTTATATTATTTTATACATTGGAGTTGACATCTGATTTATGAAGCCTTTTTCTTTTCACTGTGTTTTACATAGGCACTGGTTTTATGGAGAAAAGGTTGCCGATGGTGGTAAGTGTCCAAAAAGCTGTGCCTAACAATTTTTCAGTGGATGTTACAAGCTCTGAAGTATATTTTAACCAATGTGGGTCATTGTGTGCCTTTAGTTAATATAAATTCACAAATTATCAAAATTATACAACTAAAGCACTCTTAACGTTTCATCAAGCTCAAGAGTTCTCAGACGTCATTGATGCCACCACACTTTCCCATCACTTCCTGCTGCTAGATCCAGCACATCTTACAACATTTACGCCCATCCCAAGATTTGCCTTAATTTACTTTTTCATTTTCCTGTAGATCTTCCCTTTGATCACCCACATCTAGTTGCTGAGATATACCTGTCCTGGTAATGTGTTGCCCACCATGTAGCACACACAGTGCACCCATCACAACTCACTTGTTGCATCTGCACTAATTTTGGCATGTTCACTTATGAATGTCCAATGTGCTCACCCTATCCTGACATGAATTTCCTAGCAATTCTCCACGGCCGCTAGTATTAAAAGGCCTAAAGCTTTTCTTCTAGTTGCTTTATTAAAATCCCATTCCCACTCATGCAGTAATATGAACATTACCATCTCTCGAAAGAGTGCCTTGTAACACCAATGTTGACTTCACTTTCCTAACATCTCTTGACCTTGCAACCCTCTTGATTATACACCTTGCTACTTAAATGAGTGAAGTCTTCTACCTCCGCATTCTCAAGTTCTACTTTGATAAACGTACAAGAGGTGCGTTTCTAACCACCGCCATTAACATCCATGGAATTCGCAAGTTCCTAAATCAAAGACATGGGTTGATCTCGGAGGGCACTTAACCGATGGAATTAAGCACAGTAAATTGATTATGTACAAAAACTGCCCAAAGTCTCCCTCTTTGAAAGAGTGAAGGCCTAAATAACACGATGCAATTTCAGTGAATTCCGTCTGAGGGCTTTCAGTTGCGTCACTATTGTGTATTTTTTACACGATGCAATTGGTCGCAGTGCAGTTGCGTGATTGATCCCGGTTTTTTATTTTGCAATCTGACACAATTGTCAACGTAGCCTCAGAGTTCACCTCGCCTGGCACACGTGCTGTGGTGATGTCACCACCACTTAGTGCCAAATGTTGGTTGTTGTACAGCAGCTGTTTCCTTGTGTGAGAATCGCAAATATGCGTGCTCGTTTTTGTGTGTATGTACGCCAGGTGTGTGAGAGAGAGAGACCGTTTGCGTGGTAATTAATGGGCGTGTGCACATTTGTTTTGTGTGCGTACAATAGTCATGTGGATTTGGATGTGTGTGTGTGTGTTCCGGTACAACACGCATGGTGGCGTAGTAGTTAGCTCACTGTGACATTAATGTTGTTCGAGCATTGGCCATGGCTAACATCGATGGCGAGTGTTATATGAACCAGTCCTGGGCGTCAAGGTTGACTCCTCTTTATACGAGTACCTTGTGCAGTGTATATGCACATTTTCTGCGCTTGCACCATGCCTGCCTTGTTGTTGCTCGTTAAGAACACTACCCTGACATCTGGTGTAAGCATGTGTGTGTATATGTGTGTGTGAGTGTGCTTGTTTATGTATATTTATACATGTGTTTATGTAGCGTGTGTCTTGTTTCCTGTCTCATGGCACCCTTTGGGACAGTATTGCACTGTTGCAGTGTCACCTCGAACGCTTGCTTGCGATCGATGGTTTGCAATCCTGTGCAGTCTTTAATTATACGCCCACATCGATTGCACTGAAATGGCATCGTGTATCTCGGGTCTTTAATAATCCTCCGTGAGATTTCACCATGGTAAAGAACATTGAGTTTACTTGAAACACCATCCTGTAATGTGTATGGAAGTTTATTGTACATATATACGTCTCTTTAATCCATTGCTAGATAAGGGCCTCCCCACACTGAGGCTCGTGGTGGTCAGTGCAATTAGATGGAGACAGGGAGCATAGAATACATCACAACGATTATTATAATTCAATCACTATACAGTTTCAAACCTGCTTAGTTTCCGAACTCTGATGAGATGGGGCTCATTCCAGGTTATTTGGTCAGAGGCAGCCGTGAGAGTATGGTGCATGAGTGTGACACGCGTGGTGTGTGTGTGGCATGTGAGTGATGCGTGTGTTGTGTGTAGCACATGCGGGGGTGTGTGCATGGCACGTGCGACGCGCGTGGTGCACGTGGCACGTGAGTGTATGACGTATGTTGTGTGTGCGCATGCTGCAGAAGGAGAGCGGGAGCGTGGTTGGTTTCCCCGTCGCTGTGCTGAGCGCATCTCCCTCCCGGACATGGAGAGCACGGAGAACTCCACTGAGGGCAAGAAGAATTCCTGACGTGCAGAGATGTAGCACCCTTCTCCCCGCGACACCGCTCTACGGCAAATGTGCAAAAAGCGCATATGCTTGGAAAATTATGCTAAACACAAAATAGAAACCTTCTTCACAGATGCGCTAACGTTTACAAATGGTTCCTGGAAATAAATTAAGGAAACTACTGAACACGATACATTTAGCATTTATTTTTTAAAACTTAAATGGTTACATCCTGTACGTGTTTTGCTCTAAATTTATAATATGTTAATGTGTTCTTGAATTTGAGGATGAACCATGTTTAAAGGACAACAGTGCTCTGAGATGTGCGTACCTTTGGTGCACACCTCTAAATGAAAGTATTTGACCTTTCCTTTCAGTTGCAAAGGTTCCGCTTCCGCTGTTTGCATGAAATGCTGTTTGGCTTTGGGAAATAGGTTGGGTCCGATTTAACAGGAGTGGATTTGCATAACCCGCCACTTTGGCTATAATGATATTAGATTTTGCAGAATAAATCTTGTCATTGACTTAATGGTCAGCCAGCTTGAATATTGCCTACAATTACATGTTTTGCATCATTTTGCTTTTGGGTGACCACTCAGAACTATACATGTACGCATTTCTCTTATTTTTTCCGGGTTAGGTTTGTGTTCATTTTAGTGTATTATGCGGCTAATCTATTTCTACCCAAAATCCTCTGTATGCAATTTGAATTCACTCTATTAATATATTTATTTTACCAGGTAAGGGCCACTGAGCTATAGAGTTATTTTTCAGAAGTGACCTGGCCACAAATGATAGTTCAACAAATTGGCTTATGTGGAAATTTATAGCAGCCAACTACTCTAAACGCATGTTTCTAAATGTGGAGGGAAAAACTGGTGGACCCGGAGAAAAAGCCACATGACCACAGGGAGAACTTGCAAACTCCAAATATACAGCAGGCGTCATGGATGGGATCGAACCCACGACTTCCTCTCTACCAGGCAAGGTAGTTAACATCTCGCAACTATGCGGCCAGGCATTGTGGGTTGTGTGATTGTGGTCTATGCTACGCGATTTCGCTTTATATTTTTTGGAACGCACCTACCACAAAGTGAGGGAAAACTGTATTACCCTCAGCCTCCATCGGTGCCCATATACTCTGCCATGTGATTTTGCTGTCCGCACAGTGTAGAGTAGGATTTTGTAAACTCCAGGCCCAGTAAGCAGAGCCTACGCAGATTAGATGTAACGTGTAGTTGTAATTGGATTATGCTTTCCGCACCTTAATATGTGAAAATCCAGCCTGGTCAGACCGTTCCATTTCATTTCCACTAACACTTATATGGTTTCATATTTATTTAATCGAGTACTAGGTACGTGAATCCATAACATTTTTCCAAACCATATTGCTAAGTTTCAGCTCTCCCCAACACTAGAATTGAGATAAATTACAGTTGGAGTAAAGTCATTTATTCATCTGAAATATTTATCTGGCTCATCAAGTTCTAAAACTAACTGTGGCTTGTACAAGAAGAAGAAAATAATGTGTGTTAACGCTGCTGTCTTGAAGACCAAACAGCATTGTGTCTTAAGCCATCGTGTAGCAATAGGTAGCTACTGGGGCCAAATGTGTTGTCTATATTCTCGAGTTTCACATAGGAACACTTGGTCCACATACACACCTAATTTAATTGCGAGTTTTTAATTGCAGTGGTAGCCACGAATGTGTACGAACTACATTCCAGAATGCAGTGCTTGGGAAGGCCGAGGATGTAGACATTTTAAAAATGTTGGCACCCAACCAAGTTGTGGTGCTATACAGCAGGGTATTAAAATCTCCCAGGCCATACTCATAAAAAAGTAATATATTAATGTTTGTATCCTTAAAATAAGTAAAATGTCATATTTGAGTTGTTACTCCCGTGACAGTGTTTACATAGTATTTCCACAGTCGCTGAATGGGCGTCAAGTCCAAGCTTATTCCAAACCAAACAATGAATGGTGGTGGTGGCGGTGTGTGTGGCTCGGGTAGGGTGGACAGGTGGTGTTAATGTCATCGCTGCCACGCTGCTGAGGGACAGCAAAGTTGCGTTGAAAGCAGAGCCCTGCAAATCGGCACTGCGGCCCATTTGAAGTTGCCCTGACTAAGCTGGTTATGACGGCCTTTAGATATTTTGTGTACAGCAAATGGATAGATTGTGCCAATGGGCATTCTCTATAAGTAAATATGGCTTGTAGAGAGGATGCAGTGGTATTTAGAGGAATATATTTATTTGATGTTTATTGCTTAAACACGGGTATTTGGTAGTTTTTTTTGTTATGTTTAACCACTAGCTCGCATGCATCAATCTGTAACTACTATTCAAATCGTTAGTTCTTTATGGAAAACAATAGGCTGGCACTTTCAGAGATGCTGGTTTTATCTTGATTTGGATTTTTTTGTTTCGTCTATTCTGTTCAACATCACTCATTTTCATGTTAAGATTCAATAATTCTCGGTATATTCACCAAGGATTCACAGATTCGTTTGACACAATCTGTCGTACATTTATGATTTTAATGTGATAACCTGAAAAGTGCAGTCAATGGGGCCTTATGCTGTATATACTTTCACTCAGTATGTCGCATTGGGAAATATAACCATAATACATCTCGGCGTGCTGTCAGTTACCAAGCTAAATTGTCCTATTTTTGCCACGTACTAAACAAGCACATGCATTACCAATAAACATCGACATTTAAGTAATTACTGTGGGATTCATTATACACATGTTCATGTATGTTCAGTCAGAAAATGTATTCCTGATTTCCACAAGACTAGAAACACTTAAGTGCCCTCCACTGAAGGTTCGTGCCAAACATTGCCTAACGTACCAATTGTTGCATTCTGAACCCAGTTCTTGATAGACTTTAAATGATTTTGGTATATTTCGCTAAACTCAAGTTCAGTACTATAAGCACGAGCTCCTTCATTGGGTTTAGAAGTCTGTGCATTTTTCGTATGGAATGTTTAGTCTTTGGTTAAAATTGTCCAGAATTGCTAAATGCGGATTTGTCCTATTGGCGGTTGTGTGCTGAACTGATCTTGGAAAATGTTGGATGGGTCTTTCGGTATTTTGTCGAATAAGGTAAAGATTTATATGTTTGTTCCTGATGAACAGTATTCCTGTAAACAATTTTCACCTTTGTATTAATGCTGCGTAAAGGCTAAGGAACCACCAAAACATTTCAGTATCTTGAAATGTGTCAAATGTACTTGTTTTGACTAATCTACTTCCAGAGATGAAGACCAGGTGAAACGAAGTACTGTAAACTCCATCTTACACATGCTTGCTGTTATTTACGGCTGTATTGTCTGTGGTCTCCCAATATAAGTTTTTAATCAAACCGTAGACCATAGTGTTAATACTATATCAGTGAATGAGTTGATTGGATCATTGAGTAAATTTGAGCCCTGAAATATGTTTTTGATATTTGTATGCTGTATTTGGTATACAGATGCCAATACATTCCCAGTGTTGAACATTGGAACATAGCCCATTTTGGAACACAGCAATCATGTTGGCTAAATTATTTTCCACGTCACCTAGCAATAACCAATTGTACAGTGTAATATTTTATGAACGTTATTTTAAAAGGAAACATGCATGAAAGAGCATAGAATTTCTGGAATAAAAATTCTAAGAAACAATTGTTTTCGTAATGTGTTTTTTTATTTTTTTAAAAATACGAATAAGCACATTGAATAATGTATGTTACAGTTGAAACAGGGATTCACAATCCAGGTTCAAGCCTTGACACTGAATTGTGTATTTTCCATTGTAACCTAATATTACCAAGTTGGATGTACCCGGCTTGAATCGGCTCGTGCAGGCGATAGATGAATTGCTCCATCACAAAAGCACGAGAGTTGATCTTTGCATTATCTTCATTTAGGTTTGCGATTCATTGTAAAATTAACTTTGTTTTATAGTGTGGATAGCCTCATGAACGAATCTGTCTTGGTTCTTTGCAAGCCATCTGGCTACCATGAGAGATTCGTTCATGAGGCTATCCACATATACAAACAGACAATTTCAACCGAGAAGATGGATTCTGGCTTAGCAATCATTGGAAGAATTTGATCAAAATTTTGGGTCTTAATTGATTGTTCAGGCTAACGGTGGCTTTCAGACCGCATCCATTATTTTCGTCTCCCCCCTCCTCTTTTCCGAACATAGATGGACTCGTCCATCTGAATAACTGCCAAATCGCTCTCCGTGGTGCTAACGTTAAAAATAACCGCCACTTTTTTCAAATTTTCTTGCTGTGGTTTTCACACCTGATGATGATTGCTTGTGTTGCAGTCGAAACGTCGTGAGAATTTTATTGTTTTATATTTTTATTATTTTATTGTTTCCCTTCTACGTGACTTTACCGAAAGAACCAAGAATATGAATCCCTGCAGTCACGAAAGCTTTAAATCAAGATTTTAAGCATGTTTTATTTTCAAAATGGAAATGTGTTTTTTTTGGAGGGGGGGCAGAGCTTTGTGACGTCCTATTTGAGGGGGGGTGTCTGACTTTTTGTTACGCTGTGTGACAAGGGGGGGGGGGGTCAAAAATCGTCAAAAATCGCGTGACGTCATTTATGGAGGGCCCCTAATGGCACCGTGCTCCGCGTTATAACGGAAGTGCCCCGCATTGTACGAAAAGGTGTTTCCTCAAAAGGAAGAGCCGCGTGTCGGCGAAGACGCGTTGTGTCGACACGCGCCAAGCGGGAACTCGACAGATTGACATGCAGTAACGCATCTGAAAGGCATTTCGTTTGCAAATACATTCAAAGGGTCCGCATGCCTAAAAACAATCTCTCAGCGTTGACGTGTTTTGTGTATCGAGACAACGAAAAAGGGGCACACATCCAGAGCAGATCACGGCAAACACCAAA